CAGTCATTGTATTGCAATGAGCCCTCAAATAGCTCAGAAATGTTCACCACTAGGGAATGCAAGTAAAGGGAACATGTGCTCTGTGTACTATTTCCACGATATTTATGAAAATTGAAAACTTGCCTTTTTCAAAGTTTCTTTTGAAATTTGGCATCATTTGGCAAAATTTGAAGTGGATTCTATATTAGATAATAGAACTATACCAATTTGAAGTTTCTTGAAGTTGTCGCTATAATGTAGTTATATTAGAGAAGTTCTTTTATAAGGAGATTTGTAAATGAAAGGAAGTTGTAAAGTATCTGGGAGTAAATACTTTAAAGGGCCAGGATGTCTGCAACTAACACCCAAAAGTTAATTCAGGAAGTTAAGAAAAAGAACAGGAGGCATATGGATGTACATATATAGGTGGATATGTGGAGAAAGCATCATAGAGAGAGAGATTAAATCAACATGGAAACAATGGGGAATCTAAGTGAAGGATTTGTGGGTGTTTGTTGTGTTGTTCTTGAAATTTTTCTATATGTTTAAACATTTCCAAAATATAATGTTGAAAAGAACCACACAGTTGATCAACAGAGTTTTTATTCTTTCAGCTATAGGATCTGTGTATCAAAATGTCCTCCTATTTAGAGTCTAATTAAGGAAAGAGAGGAAGTGGGTTGAAGACTCCGAAAATATTTGGCCACCACTCCACAATAGCCGCAGATGAGCTGCATTTTCATCTCTTCCCGCAAGTACTTATTCAACAATATTGTGTACTCCAGATGAGAGAACTGCTTTTCGTCTCTGAAATCTCCAAGATTTGCATAAGCCATTTCAGGGCCAGGGAACTTTAGGACAGATTCAGATCTTGGAATATGGGTTGTTAGAATATTTTGAAGCTGGTGAGGAAAGTAAGTGAAGTAAAACAAGAGTGTCCATGCAGAGGCATCTGCAAGACTACACAGAGGCTCTGGTCAACCCACAGGACATTAAGAAGCTTCTCTGCCCTTGTGGAAACAGATTGCGTCGAAGGAGTTGATGAGTAGGGAGGCAATGCTGCCAAAAATCCCAAAACAGAGCAGCTCAAAATGCCTTTTTACAGCACATCAGACAAAATGCCAAGTGGGGGCCCGTGACATCCGGAGTGACTGAATGTCAAGTGAAGACTGAGAAAATGAGGGTGGAAGCTATGCATGAAAACATACCCTTTCCCTCTCTTTCCCAATCTGGGTCAAAATGCCCAGCTTGAGGAACTGGGACACATTCTCAGCTGAGAAACAACACCATTTTATCCAAGTCTATCTATTGGTCCGGGTGCCAGAATAGCCGGGCTTCCTATTATCAATTGATTTGTTTGGTGTACACACATAGAGGACTTATGTTCTGGGTGTTATGTTAAGCTTTGGAAAACACTGTAGATTCTTCCAGTTCCTGCTAGAGGCTTATAGTCCAGTAAGAGAGAGAGAAGTATTGACAGCTGTGGTAGATTGAATTATTGGTCCCACTTCTTCACACATCCCCCACCCACATCCTGCACCATGGGACTTAGCTGTCAATCTCAGTAGAGGGAGAGTCCTCTTACCCCTTATGTTTTAAAAAAATAATGTATAGCTAGAAAGTGTGATGCATAGTGATGATTTCCATGGAAAAAATATTCAGTTGCTCAAAATTCCCAAGGGGGGCATGCCAAGGACCACACAAGGAGGCCCAGCATTAACCAGGAGGCAGAGGGGGCGGTGTATGGGCAGGGGCCTTTATTGTGGCTTCCATGGGAAGGAACGGGAGAAGCAGGGTAAGCAAGTTTAAGATTAGCTAGTTTGAATAATTGCAGTAATTTTCCAGAACACAGGGGCCACCCCTGTTTGTCTGATACTTAAGATGATTAGGGCAGGTGAATAGTGGCCCCAGCCAACCTCCACAAAGCACCTGAACAGCATCTTGGCAACATTTGGTGAGACGGAAGGTGTGAAGAATATTCCAAATAATAGTTTCCAAAAAAAACCTCCAAAAATTACCCATCCCCTCATGGGCAAATGCACAGACAAAGAGGCATGGCCTGAAGCAGGACCTCTGAGGCCCAAAGCTTGCCACAAGTCCCAGGTACCTTCTGGCAAGGAACCACAAGAAAGGGTTAAGCCAGTTCCAGAGAACTTGGACGGAAGAATATACTACATCAAGACAACAGCTGCCGTGATCAGCCTCCCCACATGTCTCTCACCGACATTTCTCTTCCAAGTGTCTCTACATTTCTTTCTTCCATGTCTTCTCCAAGACTCCTTCCAAGTCAAAACCAGAGAAGCAAGAGTTAGCACCCATCTGTGCTCTGTGCCATGTAGGTCCACCTGGCTGCTCAGCACCACCCCTGGTTTCTAGCAGCTCCCCTCTCAGAATTTCTGGTTCAGGGCATTCTGGGACTTATATTCAAGGAGGCTGCATGTAAGTGGGGGCAGGGAAAATGGGACCTCCTCTTCACACAGGTGTGTGTGTAACAGGGGGAAGGGTCTTTTCTTTAGTAATATTAACTGACAGCTATGATTACTAGCATTTACATTATATTCATTGTCTTCCATGTACAGTTCTAGATATATCTATATCTATGTATAACTAACTCTATATTCATTGAAACTTTACAAGGATGATAGGAAGAAAATACTATTATTTCCCTGTGGACTTCTAGTGAGTCCTGGACCTGGGATGCGACGGTGAGGGAAATCAGACACGGGGGACTGTCATGTCCAGCATGCAGTAAATCTTTATTGTCTTAGTGCTCATTATATACTATTTTAATTGCAGCAGGTGTAACTTCAAATCATACCATATACTGACAACACATATAAATGATTAGTCTACTTTCTTACTATTATCTATTTACTTCAGACAGTAGGGTACCAGGTGGTTAGTTCTCATGCACATAATCTTATTGCCCCCTAGCTAGAGCCTGGAAAGTTCGCTCATTATTTTTGTTATTCTAAGACTGTGGAGATGTAGAGGCCTGACTCCATGCAGGTCACTTTCCGGGCACTCAACACCAGGTCCTGTCACTCAGAGGTTTTCCTCCGAGATGCATGCGTTTTCACATGCCTTAGGGACTCAGGTCAAGGCCCTTCTCCTCACTGTGCGAGGTCTCCCCAACATTTCCCTACTTTCATTCACATATAAATAGAACCACAGAGATTACATGAAAAGCTAATAAGGAGAAAAGCCAGGATTCCAATTTAGGCAGGATTCCAAATCACCATCACAGTCAAGGCTCTTAACCACTGAGCTATACTGACCCTGGAGGGACAAGCTAATAATTACACTGTTGTGATAAGTGTTATTAATTCACAGAGGTAGGGGGATCTAACTCAGAGGATATAAAAATATTCTGGAAAGAAATGATGCTTGAGCTGAGTCTGAAAGAGGTGGGTAACAGAAAATCAAGGCAGATAAAAGATTGTGCAAAGGCCCATGGGCAGAACACAGCACAGAGGTCAGTGTGGCTAGTCCACAGGGTGAGCACAAGTGGCAGCAGGAAGTGAAATTGAAGACCTGATCCAGAAATGATCAAGAAAGGCATTAAGTTGAAGTTTTATTCCAAAGTCTTCCAGGATTCAAAGCTAATAGGGATATGACAGATCAGATTTACAATTCAAGAGATGCAGAGGATTGGAGGGTAGACAGGAAGCCAAAAATCCAGTTAAGGGCCTCCCTGGTGGTGCAGTGGTTGAGCGCTGGGCTGCAAAGCTGCCCGCAGCCTCTGCAGTGCCAGTTCAATCCCTGGCCGCCGGCGAGCGTCCCACATGGCGTGCAGACCTCTCCTGCTGCGCCCGCTGCTCCCTTCAGCAGTGTCTTCGGTCTTCTGCCTGTTCTGCTCCCCACTCTGGCTCTGGTGAATTCTCTCACCCTCCCGCATTTCTGACTGTACCCAGTGCTTGTATAAATAAATTTTTTAAATCTTTTTTAAAAAATCCAGTTAAAAGGCTATTGAAAATGAAAGATTTGACCAAACTCTAAATAGGCTCCTCTCAGTATTCTGTCCTCAGCCTGCCTAAGCCAATCATAGCAAAGAATCCCGCTAAGTCATCCTGCCTACCCATGATATCTGATCACCTCAGCCTGCTCTGCTTATTGGCTATAAATCCCCACTGTCTTTGAACTTAGTTCTCTACTGGAGTCTCTTTTTCCCTTTTGTAATAGTACTAAATAAAACCAAGTGAGTTACAAAGACCTGAACTAAGTCATGAACAGCAAAGATCCATTCATTCACCAGGCAATAGTTTAGCACCTGCAGTTTGCACTCAGAATTGGGGATACAATAGCAATGCAAAAAGGCAAAAATCCTGCCTTCAAGGAGCTGTGTGTCTGCTTTTTTTTTTTTTTTAAGGCAGGCTGCCACATGAGTACCTCATTTGAATGTGTCTAGAGTCTCAGAAGTCTAACTACTCTATTTTTCTCTGACAAATAGACATTGAGAGAGCCTCCCTGGTGGCGCAAGGGGTTAAGCACAGCACTATGAAGCAATCTGCTGCCTCCGCAGCGCGAGTTCGATCCCCGGCCAGCCAGGGAGCAACCCACATGGCACAGCAGACCTCTTCTGTCTTGCCTGCTGCTCCCCTCAGCAGTGATTTTGGTCTGTCTGCCTGTTCTGCTCCCCACTCTGTCTGATGAATCCTCTCACCTCCTGCACCTTTGACCTGTACCCCAGTTCTTGCATGCATAAATAAACAAATCTTTGGGCCTCTCCGGTGGCGCAGCGGTTGAGTGCTGGGTTGCGAAGCTGCCCGCGGCCTCTGCGGCGCCGGTTCAATCCCCAGCTGCTCCCCGGCCACCAGAGGAGGGTCCCACATGGCGCGCAGACCTCTCCTGCCGCCCGCTGCTCCCCTCAGCAGTGTACTTCGGTCCTTCTGCCTGCTCTGCTCCCCGCTCTGGCTCTGGTGAATTCTCTCACCCTCCCGCGCTTCTGACTGTACCCAGTGCATGTATAAACAAAAACAAACAAATAAAGAAAGAAAGAAAGAAAACATAAAACATGCCTCTATATAAAAAAATAAATAAATAAAATAAACAAATCTTTTTTAAAAAATAGACCTTGAGAGCTTGTTTGGAACTGCTCACAGGGGAACACGGCTACTCGTAAACTTGACCACAGAAAAGTCTGTCTGTATTTAGGAAAGGTGGTCTTCTTAAAACCAGGTGCAAAAGTTCTAGTGGGAGATACACAGAGCATAGAGGGAGGAAGGGGACACCCACCTTGCCAGCCAGATATCAATGGGGTGACAGATGTTGCAAGCATATCACCCTCACAACTTGGAACTAATATTCTAATGAATCAAGTGTGAGACTCAAAGAGGGGGTAAAATCTACCATCATGAGTGATTACTTCATTGTGATATGAAAAGAGAGAGGGGAGAGCATCTATCAGGACATTCCCATCTTTGCTAGGTCAGGCTGGCAAATAGAGAAGGAAATATGCAGTGAGCAGGTTTGGTGAAAGAAATATCAAGGTCAGTTTTGAGCATGACGAAGGTCAAAATTTGTAGAACACCTCAGTAAAGATATCTTGTCAGCATGAGATGAATGTGGAACTTGGGAAAGAGTCCTGGACTGCAGTGTGTAGTTTTTAGTTAAAGAGTTCTCACAGTTCTAGAAGTCAGAGATCCAAAATCGAAGTATTGGTATTGGCAAGAGATCCCTCTGTAAACTCTAGGGACAAATCCTTCCTTGACTCCCTTGCTGCTGGTGGTTGTGGAGGTCCTTGGCAGTCCTTAGTTTGTAGCAGCATCACTCCAATTTCTGCTTCCTACTTCACTTGGCTGTCTTCTGCCATGTATCTCTTGCCTTTCACATGGCCCCAGTCATTGAATTTAGAGGTTATGTTGGTTAATCTTATGTGCTAACTTAGCTGGGCCATGTGATGCCCAAATAGCTAGTAAAACCTTGTTTCTGTGTATGTCTTTGAAGGTCTTTCCAGAAGAAATAAGCATTTAAATTGGTGAATTGGTAAAGCAAATCATCCTTTCCAATGTGGGTGTCGTTCAATCTGTTGGGAGCCTAAATAGAAAAAAAAAAAACGGAATAAGGAAGGATTGGTGTGCGCTCTCTCTCTCTCTCTCTCTCTTTTCTCTCTCTCTCTCCCCCTACAGCCCCCCCATCCCCACTCTGACTGATTGAATAGGGTCATTCATCTTCTCCTGCCCTCAGCACTCCTGGTACTCAGGTCTTCAACATTGGACTGCAATCTACACTACCGGCTCTTGGGCCTTCAAACTATACCCCCAACTTTCCTGGGCTTCCAGCTTGTGATGGCAGATGATAGGACTTCTTACTTTCCATAACTGTGTTAGCCAATACCTTATAATAAATCTCTTCCTAGATAAATACAGATAAATGTAGAGATAGAGATGGAGATGGAGACAGAAATGGAGATGAAGTGAGAGAGATGGAGACAGTGATAGATAGGGATGGATAAAGAAAAGAAAAAGATATCATACCGATTCTCTCTAGAGAATGATGATTAATACAAAACCCATCCAATCGAGGATGATAACTACATCTACAAAGAACTTATTTCCAAACAGGATTATATTCTGAGTTTCCAGGTGAAAATGACTTTTGGAGGGAATGCTATTTAACCCTGTACGGGAAAGTTTGGGGTAATAATCCTTTTCCCTGTGTCCCATCCCCCACCTCACCTCTGATTTCAGCACAGAAATAGCAGAAGGTCTGCACATCCACAATGCTTTCCACCTCAACTATGCTCCAAAACAACTCATTTCTCTGTGCCAGAGCCTTTCTGAATCTACAGAAGTATACTCTGCATGCAGGTAGAGCCAGAAGTCCAGAGGTGATCGAGCCCCCCAGGAGAGAACTCTCAGCAAAGAAGAATAAGAGCCTCCAGGGACTGTAAATGTCCTATCTCTTGATCCTGCTGGTGGTTACATGGGTGTACACATGTGAAAAAATTCATAGAGCTATATGCTGTAGATTTATGCTTTTGTGAACCTAAGGGTTCACAACCAATTTCTACTCCTACCCAAGGGCCTCTATCCACCTTTAAATTTTCCATAATTATGTATCCCAAAGGTTAACAAACCTTTTTACTTAAAAGGCAAGGTAATAAATATTTTCATTTTTCAGACCAGATGGTCTTTTCACAATGACTCAGCTTGGCCCAGTGTAGCATGGAAGTAACAACAAACCATACATAAACAAATGGGCATGGCTTTGTTCCAATAAAACTTTATTTACAAACACAGGTGGGAGCTGGATCTGGCCTTCAGGCCATAGTTTGCCAACTTCTGATACATACCCCATTTTAATTGCTTCATCTGTTTCTTCTATCAAGTGTAACTACCTTGAAGGCAAGGACAAGATTTTCCATCCCTGTGTCTTTACCATCTGCTCCAATGCCTGACACAAAACAAATTATTGTCCATGAACAAATCAATGAATGATTTAATTAATTGTTTATTCAGCTTGCACCTAAATGAAAAGAAGAAAAGCAAAGATGAGTAATACAAGGGAATGACAAAGGATGCAGCCCCAACACCATGCATGAAACACCTTCCCAGTAAGCCCCACACACAAACTACAGGGATTCTGACTATTATATTCAGCACATATTTATGTTACTAAATTCTTAGGCTCAATTCCAACAGGGCTGTGGAAGTTTCCCCATACCAACGAAGAACTCTCAGAAAGCACACCAGCAGGGTGTATGAGAATTCAACTCAATTCTGACACTATCAACTCAAAGATTGTGTCAGATTCCATAGGTTAAGGGCTCAGTCTCCCAAAACCACCCTTTACTTCAGATGCTAGCTCCAAGCCCCAGATTATTGCCTGTGCTCCTTACCAATTAACCACAGAGAGGAAGTCTCCACAACTCCTCAGACTTTTGGTGCCCATTACACACCCAGATTATTACCTGTGCTTCTGACCTAGTGGTTTTAAATCAGAGGTTCCCAGGACAATCTCCTTGAGTTTCATTCATTTGCTAGACAGGATCACAGAAGTCAAGAAAGTCATTTACTCTCTAGATCACTGTCTAGATTATGAAGGATACTAAATGATAGAAATAACAGCCCAGTGGAAGAGAAGCATAAGGCAGTGTACAAGGAAAGGACACAAGGCTTCTATGCCCTCCCCAGGTGCACCATTCAACCCAAATTCCACATGTTGGTGAACCAAAAAGTTCTCAGAAGCCCCCCACTCTTGGACTTTTATGGAGGCTGCATTACATAGGCATGAGTAATTAACTCATTGGCCATTGCTAACCAAATTCAACTTTCAACCCCTCTCCAGTTTGGGAAGAAGGGGAAGTTAAAGTTCCACCCTCTATTCATACTGGTTTCTTAGGAACCTCCTCTTCAGATGTTTTCAAAAATTTCTTTCATTAACATAACTAGAGACACCTTTATCACTTACACCACTTCAAAGATTTTTGAAAGCTGGAAGGCAAGAACTGTGGAGGAAGACTAATTATGTGTGAGCAATATATGCATTTGGTCATCTGACAGACCAAATCTAGATTTTCCTTATAAACCACAATATTGCATGAATGCAACACTGCTAATTAATAAAAAAACATGGATCATTCATTTTAAGCTCATAGATTTTATTTTCTGAATTTCACTTCAGATTTTAAAAGCAAACAACAACAAAAAACCATGCTCTACAAATTTGAAACTGCTCAAAAAGCAAAACAAAGGCTCCCTCTGGCTGCTGGCTGGAGAACAGACTGCATTGTGAAGGCACCCAATGCCCAGAACTTCAATCATTTTACTTTTGATTGTTCTATTATTTCTGAAATACTCCTTGAGGGACATAAAATTGCTCTCCATACTACTGGGATTGCTTGGCTTCCTTAGTCTTGGGAAATGCCAAGAAATAAAGGTGCTGCCACTAGTTCGTGTAGGCTAAGACTGACAAACCCTGTGTTGAAAGCTTATGGCTCTAACACCAGCATTTGCTGTGTACCAAATTTTGTGTTATTCTATTTCATCTTGGCCTGCTTTGTCATCATCCCTGCAGCAGACCCTCTGGTCTCCTTGCTTTCCTGCAAGCTCTGGCTGACAGTGTCCTATCTTAAGCCTGTACTCCATATCACTCCAATTTCTGCAGCCTTCTCCAACCCCATAGGGCAGCCCAAAAGTAGGATGTTAAAGACCCCAGGGTGCAACTGGGTCACATCATGTCTTCCCTAATAGAATACATTCTAAAGGACTGCTAGAGATGAATTCTGTGCTCCACATCGTACGTTGAAAACCAACTCCCAACGTGATAGTATTTGAAGAAAAGGTCTTCGGGAGGTGACTAGGTCATAAGGGTGGAGACCTCATCATAAAAGGGCCTCCTTATAAAAGAGATCTTTATAAGATGCCCTTGTAAAAGAGATCCCAAAGAGTTCCCACCACCATGTGAAGAGACGCTGAGAAGACACCATCTGTGAACCAGGAAACACTTACCAGGTGCCAAATCTGCCTGTACTTTGATTTTGGATTTACCAGTCTCCAAAACTTGAGGAATGTCTATTGTTTCTAAGTCACCCAGTCTATTATACTCTGTTATGGCAGCCTAAACGAACTTAAGACAAAGACCCCATGGAGGCGGTTGAGCGCAGCATTGTGAAGCTCTCCGCAGCCTCTGCAGCACTGGTTCGATCCTGGCAGGCAGGCGAGGGTCCCACATGGCCCTGCAGACCTCTCCTGCCTCGCCCACTGCTCCCCTCAGCAGTGTATTTTGTCAGTCTGCCTGCTCTGTCTCTGGTGAATCCTCTCACTCTCCCATGCATCTGGCCTGTACCCCAGTTCTTGTACAAATAAATAAATCTTAAAAAAAAAAAAAAAGACAAAAGACACCACCTCTGTGAATTCCTGCCGGAGATGCATAACTTCACACCTAGAATAGCCAAATTTTAGAGACCAAAAAGTAAACAATGTTCCTTAGAGGCTGGAGGAAGAGAGAAATGAGGAGTTAGTGTTTGGTGGGGACAGAGTTACAGTTGGGAAGATGAGAAGAGTTCTGGAGAGTGGGTGGCGGTGTCTGCACAACCATGTGAATGTGCTTCCTGCCCCTGGACTTGACACTTAATAATGGCTAAAATGGTGGAAGTTATGTTGTGTTTTTTTACCACAATTTTTTAAAACTGCTTTTCCAGGTATGTAATTATGGTTATATTTCTATAAGTTACTGCACATTATATGTGTGTGTGTGTGTCTGTGTGTGTATATATATATGTATATGTATATGTATATGTATATGTATATGTATATGTATATGTATATGTATATGTATATGTATATGTATATATAACCTCAATCTAACAGTGACAAAACACCAGGAGGAATATTCTACAAATGTCAATATACTTCAAAAACATTACAGTCATGAAAGACATGGAAAGACTGAACTGTCACAGACTGGAGGAGACAGAAAGACACATGACAACTAAATGAATTGTGGTGTTCTGAGTAGGTTCCTGGAGCAGATAAAGGACACTAGTAGAAACACTGATATATTCTTATAAAGGTCTGTAGTCAGTTCATGGTATTATACTGTTGATTTTTTAGTTCTGATAAATGTTCTCTGGTTATGTAAGATGCTAACATTTGGGAAAACTGGGTCATTTGGGTACAGAAAAACTCCCCGTGCCATCCTTGCAACTCTTCCATAAGTCTACAAGTACTTCAAAGTCAGAAGGTTAAAAAAGGCCTTCCTGGTGGCGCAGGGGTTATGTCTCAGCACTATCCAGCTATTGCCAACCACTGTGACTTGAGTTCGATCCCCGAGCAGGGAGCCAACCCGCATGGCACAACAGACCTCCCCTGTCTCACCTGCTACTCCCCTCAGCAGTGTATTAGTAGATCTGCCTTCTCTGCTCCCCACTCTGTCTCTGGTGAATCCTCTCACCTCCTACACCTCTGGCCTATAGCCCAGTTCTTATATAAATAAATAAATCTTTTTTTAAAAAAAAAAAAAGCTTCTAGGTTTTGACCCTCAACCCAGAGCACATGATCCACTGGATAAATGTTCCTGCCACCAACTTTCAAAGAGGTGTTATTGGGAGAAATCTTCACCCTGAAGCCCACAGCCTTAACCCCAAGAACACTCCTGATATTGACTTTTCTGCCTTCCTGGTCATACTCTTCCAGCCCTAGCCGGGAGCTTTTTTTTTTTTTTTTTTGAAGAGGTAATAAGGTGTTTATTAAAAACTCTTTCACCCAGAGGCAGATAAAATTTATAATTTTTTTTTAATAGAGGCATGTTTTATTTATTTGTTTGTTTGTTTTGTTTATACAAGCACTGGGTACAGTCAGAAGCGCGGGAGGGTGAGAGAATTCACCAGAGCCAGAGCGGGGAGCAGAGCAGGCAGAAGGACTGAAGTGCACTGCTGAGGGGAGCAGCGGGCGGCAGGAGAGGTCTGCGCGCCATGTGGGACCCTCCTCTGGTGGCCAGGGAGCAGCCGGGGATCGAACCGGCGCTGCAGAGGCCGCGGGCAGCTTCGCAACCCAGCGCTCAACCGCTGCGCCACCGGGGAGGCCCTAAAATTTATAATTTAAAACCCAGCCCTCTGCAGAATAGGGGTGCGGGGAGAAAAACTGTGCAACACTGACGAGAGGGCCGAGACAGGCGAGGCCCAGGCCGGGGCCCCCACCCCGAGGCCAGGAGCAGCAGTGGCGTGGGAGCCGGACCCCAGCCCCTGCACAGGCCAGCACGGGCCCCTCGGCGGGACGGCCCTCGGTAGTGTGTGTCCACTGCGCGGAGTGGGTGCGGGCGCGAATGCTCACTCTGCTCCTCCATTGCTCAGACTGTACCCTCTTCTGATAAAGAGGTCACCTCCTTGACCAAAATTCAGCCAGGCTCCTATGAGCATTCTTCTTGACTAGATCTCATCCTTGGTCAAATTATCCAGTTTAGCAAGAATTCCCCCAGCCTTGGCACCCAACCTATTTGTCTTAGTAATTGTCCACCCACTGATTACCTCATCCTACTGATTGCCTATAAACCCCCATATGTCCCTGCCATTTAAGGGGTTGAGTTCTATCTCTCTCCCCCACTGCAGTAGTCTTGGATAGTCTTCCTTGCCTGTTTAACACTGGTGCAATTTTTCTTTGACACAACCCAAATAAACATCTGAAAACAAGCCTTTGTCTCTATCCCTTGACCCAAACTAAGACATCTCCATTTAGTGGACCAGGAAAATGAGGCACAGAGAAGGTAAGGCTCTCTCCCAAAGACACACAGCCAGGAAGTGGTAAAGAGAAGCCTCCAACTGGACAACCCCCACCGGCATCTCCCCTCTTGGTGATGACACTATACTGCCTTTGAGAGTTAAAGGGTTTTCCACTTTCAATATTTAAACCCATAATATTTACTTTTTTAAAATTTTTTATTTTATATATTTTTACATCATTTTTCATTTTTGCACAATGTATGCATTTTCATTATGGTTATAGTCCCTGTATAATTCCCACCCCCACCTTGTTTTCATACTACTCCCTCCTCCCCAACCCCCACCTGTATTGTGTCTCTGGTTTATAGTTGCTTGTTGATTTTGATTTTTACTTTATTACAATTAGTCTTTTTCTTGATACCTTATTTAGGTTTTCTAAATTCCTGCTATGAGTGAGACCATCCGGTATTTTTCTTTTTCTTTCTGGGTTATTTCGCTGAGCATGATCCCTTCCAGCTCCATCCATGTGGCTGCAAATTGCATGAGTTTATCTTTTTTGATTGCTGAGTAATATTCCATTGTGTATATGTACCACATTTTCTTGATCCAGTCATCTATTTTTGGGAATTTGGAATGTTTCCATAGCTTACCCATTGTAAATAGGGTTGATATAAACATCGGGGAGCAGGTGCCCTTTTAAATTAATGTATCTGTGTCCTTTGGGTAAATACCCAGGAGTGGGATTGCTGGATCATATGGAAGCTCCATCTTTAGCAGGTTGAGGAATCTCCACACAGCTTTCCATAGTGGCTGGACCAGTTTGCACTCCCACCAGCAGTGCAGGAGAGTTCCTTTTTCTCCACAACCTCGCCAACATTTGTTGTTGCTAGTTTTTTAATTTGTGCCATTCTCACTGGTGTAAGATGGTATCTCATGGTAGTTTTGATTTGCATTTCCCTGATTACAAGTGATGTTGAACATTTTTTCACATGTCTGTTGGCCATTTGCATTTCCACTTTGGAGAAGTTTCTTTTTAGCTCTTCTGCCCATTTTTTCACTGGATTATTTACTTTGTTGTTGTTGAGTCTCATCAGCTCTTTGTAGATTTTTTGTGATAAGTCCTTTATCACTAGTGTTGTGTGCAAAAATTTTCTCCCAGTTGGTGGGGTATCTCTTTGTTTTGGTTACTATCTCTTTTGCAGTACAGAAGCTCTTTAATTTGATGTAGTCCCAGCTGTTTATCTTTGCCTTCACTATCACACAATGGAATATTACTCAGCAATCAAAAAAGATAAACTCATGCAATTTGCAGCAACATGGATGGAGCTGGAAGGGATCATGCTCAGGGAAATAAACCAGAAAGAAAAAGAAAAATACCGGATGGTCTCACTCATAGCAGGGATTTAGAAAAGCTAAATAAGGGACCAGGAAAAAGACTAATTATAATAAAGAAAAAAATCAACAAGTAACTATAAACAAGAGACACACTACGGAGGTGGGGGGAGGAGAGGAGGGATTAGGGCCAAAATAAGGGGGGTGGGAATTGTATGGGGAATATAAACAAAATGAAAATGCATACATTGTGCAAAAATGAAAAATAAAGTAAGACTTATGTAAAATAAAATATTAAAAAAACGAACAAAAAAATAATTAAATTTTATTTTTAAAGGTTAACAAAAGGTTTATTTACAAGGGAAGGGGAATGAGTAAATGTACAACTCAGGGAGAAAAGAGGGAGATAAATTCTTTTTTTTTAATTTATTTATTTATACATACAAGCACTGGGTACAGTCAGAAGCGCAGGAGGGTGAGAGAATTCACCAGAGCCAGAGCAGGGAGCAGAGCAGGCAGAAGGACCGAAGTACTCTGCTGAGGGGAGCAGCGGGCAGCAAGGGAAGTCTGCGCGCCATGTGGGACCCTCCTCCGATGGCCGGGGAGCAGCCGGGGATGGAACCAGCGCTGCAGAGGCTGCAGGCAGCTTCGCAACCCAGCACTCAACCGCTGTGCCACGGGGGAGGCCCCTGGGATAAGTTCTTAAATGTATCCTACCTGTTCTGCCGACCTGGAATTCCAAATGACCCACCGAGACCAAAACTGCCTGGCCAAGAGCACGAGCCAAGTGTGCCCGACCCCACTAACATGGCTAGTTTTTATTTACAAACAGAGAAAATGGCTGCTTAACTCCGCCCTTAGGTCCTCGCAACTTCCATTTTGGGATCCTAGGATTTGTAGTTCCCAGTGTTTTGATGGAGTGGGGGTGGCATCCACAAAGCCTGTATGAAATTAGCTCAGGACATCCTTTCCCCCTCACAGTTCCCCCCTTTCACTTTTTACCACCATTTCCATGGTGTTGAAGATCAAATGTATGGATGCTGGGGTGCAGCCTCAGATGAAAATTTTTCTCAGAGTTCCCATTGGAAAGCAAACCAGTCTCTCCAGGTATTGTCCATTGTGGAAAGCAAAAGTCCTCCATTCCTGGGAAATAGTTTGTCGGTCCAAGCCAAAAAAAAAAAAAAAAAAAAATCTGGAGGCATTAGCCAAAACAAAACAGCAAAGATATCAAATCACAGGGAAAATACTAAAATTGATTCAATTTATGCAAAAACAGTTTCTCTCAACCTTGATCCCAAATTGTTTCAACAGCGTAGCAAAAGTTTGCAAACCAAATCTACTTTTAAACCATATTACCTATTTTTGCATAAAATCACAGGGCAGAATAACTAAACAGCAATTTTAGCTGGCTTTGTTGGAATACTCCATAAAGGATCAGAGCAAACTCTTGACATTCAGTCCATGTAGGCTTCAAGAACAAAGTTGGTCTCATCAGACTCCACCTGGGCTTCCTCTTCTTGAGGGTACCAGAGCTTTTTCTTTTCCCAGATTGTCCAGTCCTGCCCATGGAGGCAGCTTCCTCACCTCCCTTGGAGGGTGCTGGAACCTATGGACAAAGCATCAGGTTCTCCTCTTCTTGGTTCAGCTCTGTTTCAACTTCCTGGAAGATTCCATACAAAGCCACACAATGAAACTCATGTCCAATTGTTTTAGTTTAAGCAGACAAAATCCCTATGGAAGTTATGCAAAAATAGACTGAGATTAGTAGTAAAAAAAAAAAAAAAATACTACCACTATTTTCATGCTGTGCTGGTATCAAGGGGAGAGAAAATGTGAACACTGGGGCCTCCCCTGGTGGTGCAGGCAGTTGAGCGCCGCGCTGTGAAGCTGTCCACAGCCTCTGCAGCACCAGTTCCATCCCAATCGGCCAGCGAGGGCCCCACCTGGCACGGCAGACCTCTCCTGTTGCGCCTGCTGCTCCCCTCAGCAGTGTATTTCATCAGTCTGCCTGTTCTGCTCCCCACTCTGTCTCTGGTGAATCCTCTCACCCTCCCACATATCTGGCCTGTACCCTGGTTCTTGCATAAATAAATAAATAAATCTTTGGAAAAAAATGTGAACACAAATTAGCTTTGCTGGAAAAAAATACAACATTGCTGCAGATCCCGGTCACTCAAAACAGGAAAACTTTATAAATTCAGAACAAAATGCAAAAAAAAAAATTATCAGTATTATGTCAAAGAAAACTTAGTAAAAATCAAGTGTATTTCCAGGTCTATTCAGTTCTTTGTAGGAAATGTTTACTCTCAACAGTTCCATCAATAGGAATCTGTTGAGGCCTTTTCTCCCTATTTTCTCCAGAAACAATTTCTGTACTATACAATATTGCAAGGCAACAATCACCATTGACAATTTACATATGTATCAGGTATTGAGAGTTTGCATACATGTTTTAGAAAATCAATGTGAACATTTCTATACATGTCAAAGTGTTACCCTTTTCCCAAGTGACAATGTTTCCCTTCTAGCTTTACTTTACTAGGTAAGCCAAATAGGACAAATTCATCTAATGCCCTTCCCAAGAGGAAAGGGAGAAATATTGTGGAGTGTCACAGCAGCTCTACTGAGGTTCCACAAAATTTCCTTCTATGGGTGATGTGTCTTTAAAGATGTTTTTGAGGTGTATGTCATGTAGTGTTTCACCTACATTTCCTTCTATATATTTTATGGTTTCAGGTCTTATGTCTAATTCTTTAATCCACTTTGAGTAGGTTTTTGTGTATGGTGTGAGGTAATAGTCGAACTTGATTCTTTTGCATCTTTTTCCAGCACCATTTATTGAACAAATTTCTTTGCTCCATTGCATAGTTTTTGCTCCTTTGTCAAAGATTAGTTAACTGTAAATCTGTGGGTTTATTTCTGGATTTTCTATTCGGTTCCATTGGTCTGTCTGTTCCATTGGTATGTCTGTTCTTGTTCCAATACCATGCAGTTTTGATTATTATGGCTTTGTAGTATAGGTTGAAGTCTGGGAGTGTGATACCTCCATTCCCTTCTTTTTTTTTCAAGAGAGCATTGGCTATTCAGGGTTTTTGGTGGCTCCATATCAATTTCATCAATATTTGTTCTATTTTTTGAAGAATGTCACTGAAATTTTTATTAGAATAGCATTGAATCTGTAAATTGCTTTTGGTAGGATGGCCATTTTTTTTTTTTTTTTTTTTTTTTTATAGAGGCATGCTTTATTTATTTGTTTGCTGGTTTGTTTGTTTTGTTTATACATGCACTGGGTACAGTCAGAAGCGCGGGAGGGTGAGAGAATTCACCAGAGCCAGAGCGGGGAGCAGAGCAGGCAGAAGGACCGAAGTACACTGCTGAGGGGAGCAGCGGGCGGCAGGAGAAGTCTGCACGCCATGTGGGACCCTCCTCCGGTGGCCGGGGAGCAGCCGGGGATCGAACCGGCGCCGCAGAGGCCGCGGGCAGCTTCGCAACCCAGCGCTCAACCGCTGCGCCACCGGGGAGGCCCAGGATGGCCATTTTGATAATGTTAATTCTTCCAATCCATGAGCAGGGGATGTCTTTCCATTTCTTTGCGTCTTCTTCTATCTCTATTAACAGTGTTTTATAGTTTTCTTTGTATAGGTCCTTTACCGCTTTTGTTAGGTTTATTCCCAAGTATTTGATTTTTTTTGTTGTTTCAATAAGAAAAGGGATGGTTTTCTTGATTTCTTCTTCTTCAGATTGATTGTTTGTGTATAGGAAGGCTACTGATTTTTGTGTGTTGATTTTGTATCCTGCTACTTTACTAAACTGATTGATTAGTTTGATTAGTATTTCTGTGGAGCTTTTGGGGTTCTCTATGTATATTATTATATCATCTGTGAATAATGATAGTTTAACTTCTTCCTTGCTTATTTGGATTCCTTGTATGTCTTTCTCTTGTCTTATTGCTTCGGCTAGGACCTCTAGTATTATATTGAAAAGCAGTGGTGATAGTGGACATCCTTGTCTTGTTCCAGATCTTAATGGAAATGCTTTCAGCTTTTCACCATTGAGAATGATATTGGCTATGGGCTTGTCATATATGGCCTTTATGATGTTGAGGTATGTTCCTTGTATCCAGAGAGTTTCAAGGGCCTTTATCATAAATGGGTGTTGTACTTTGTCTAAAGCTTTCTCGGCATCTATTGATATTATCACATGGTTTTTATATTTCTTTTTGTTGATGTGTTGGATTACATTGATTGATTTTCAGATGTTGAACCATCCTTGTGACCCAGGAATAAATTCTACTTGGTTATAGTGAATTATCTTATGGATACACTGTTGGATTCTGTTAGCTAAAATTTTATTGAGGATTTTTGCATCAGTGTTCATTAGAGAGATTGGTCTGTAGTTTTCTTTTTTTGTGTTGTCCTTGTTCAGTTTTGGTATTAGTGTAATGTTGGCTTCATAGAACAAGTTTGGTATTATCCATTCCTTCTCAATTTTTTGAAAGAGTTTGTGAAGGATAGGTACTAGTTCATTTCTGAATGTTTGGTAGAATTCATTTGTAAATGCATCTGGTCCTGGGCTTTTGTTTTGGGGGAGGGTTTTGATTACCATTTCAATTTCACTGCTTGTAATTGGTCTGTTTAGGTGTTCTATTTCTTCTTTATCTAGCTTTGGGTGATTGTAAAGTTGTAGGAATTTGTCCATCTCTTCTAGATTGTTGAACTTGTTTGCATATAACTGTTCATAGAAGTATCGGATTATCCTTTTGATTTCTGTTGTGTCTGTTGTCTCTTTTTTCATTTGTGATCCTATTTCATTTGTGCTTTCTACTGCTTTTCTTTTGTGAGCCTGGCTAGGGGTTTGTCTAGGGTTTTATTTATTTTTATTTATTTTATTTATTTATTTTTTCGAAGAACCAACTTTTGGTTTCATTGATCATTTGGATTGTTTTTTTTCATATCTATTTCATTTATTTCTGCTTTGATTTTTATTATTTCCTTTCTTCTACTGGTTTTAGGGGGTTTTTTGTTGTTCTTTTTCTAGTTCTTTGAGATGTGAGATTCGGTTGTTTCTCTGAGTTCTTTCTTGTTTCTTGATGTGAGCCTCTATTGCTATATATTTTCCTCTTATTACTGATTTTGCTTGGCTCCATACATTCAGGAAATTAGTGTCCACCTTGTCACTCAACTCAAAGTATTTTTTAATTTCTTCTTTGATCTCCTCATTAGTCCAGTGGTCTTCCAGTAGTGTGGGTTTCAATCTCCATGAAGGAGGATTCCTTGCCTTTTTTTTATGATTTGTTTCTAGTTTGATGCCTTCATGGTCAGAGAAGATGGTTGGTATGATTTCAGTCTTGGTGTATCTGTTGATGTTTGTCTTGTGTCCCAGTCTGTGATCAATCCTGGAGAATGAGCTGTGTGCGCTTGAGAAAAATGTGTGCTCAGATTTTTTGGGGGTTTAGGGTTATACAGACGTCTGTTAAACCCAGGAGGTCTAGATTCTTATTTAGAGATTTAGTGCTATTTTTTGTCTCGTTGATCTATCCATTGTTGACAGTGGTGTGTTGAAGTCTCCTACTACATATGTATTTTCTCTGATGTCTGTTTTCAGAAATGATAATAGCTGTCTGATATATTTTGGTGCTCCTTCATTTGGTGGTATATGTTAATGAGTGTTATGTCTTCTTGATGTACTGTCCCCTTGATCATAATGTAGTGACCATCTGTAGTCTCTTTTTACCTTTTTGAGTTTGAAATCTATTTTATCTGATATAAGTATAGTTGTTCTTGCCTTCTTTTTTGGTCCATTCGCTTGTAGGA